TCTCGCCCCACCACTTCTAACCCAGCGTCGAGGAACAACCCCCGTTTTTAACCCTCCCGCCACTCGAAACCGTCAGCGAACGTCACCCGGCGTACACCTCGCTCTGCGTCTACCACCCTCCCTCTTTCAACCTGACACCTAGCCACCTACTAGGGAGAACCAGCGGGACCGGATGAAGTAGCGTCTTCTTATCTCGAGAGGGATGGAGGGATGCCGATCGCTTCTGCGACCGTGGTTCGTATAATGTTTCTGCTTATTTTTAATGCTTATGATATTATGCTATTTTAACAAGTTTGATTTGTGAGGCACTTGAACTGTGACAAATTTTACTGGAATTTTTAATATACATATGTGTGATCGTGGGTCGTACATTGCTTCTGCTTATTTAACCCCTTACACTATTTTGACAAGTCTGATTTGTGACGCGCTCGAACTGTAACAAATTTTACTGGAATTTTTAATATACATATGTACGAGCATGGTTTGTACGTTATTTCTGCTTATTTTAACCCCTTACACTATTTTCAAGAGTCGTAACGCACTCAAGCTACTTGAAATTTTACTAGAATTTTTAATACGTATAATACTTTAATCTGGTGTTCAAGTCCAGTTATAATTTGCATAATCAACGATTGTATAATACCAGATTGACATAACATTAAAACTTTCTTAGTCTGTTTTAATATTGTAGGTATGACTAGCTCCTGACTGATGCACTTTGCAAATAAATCATAGGGTGAAGGGTTAAACTTCCTTGTACGATGCTTAGAAGTACCGTGGATTACTGTGTGGGAATCATTATGAAATTGCTTTTCATGAATTGTTGTAGAATCAGTGTCTATCAAAATTGTTGTAGGAACAAGGTTTATGAATTATTTTATGGATGTTTATGAATTATTGTAGACTCAATGTCTGTAGATTAATGTAGAATCAATAACTATGAATTATTGTAGAATCGATCTATGACTTAGTGTAGAACCAACGTCTGTGAATTGTGATAGAATCAATGCCTATGAATTATTATACAAACAATGTCTGTGAACTGTGGTACAATCAATGTCTGTGAATTATTATAGAATCTGTGTCTGAGAAGTGGGGTAGAATCAATGTATATGGATTATTGTATAATAATGTGTTATGTGTGCTTGTAGAATAATATGTTATATATGATTGCAGAGTAATAACGTGCATATGTGATTGTAGATTAATATGTATTCCTCAATTCCCACATTCCCAAATTCCATAACTTCCCAATTCCCACGTTCCTCAATTTCCATATTCCTTAATTCCCACGTTCCCTAATTCTCACATTCCCCAATTCCCACATTCCTCAACTCCCACATTCCCCAATTCCACAATAGCCAATTCCCACATTTCCCAATTCCCATATTCCCAAATTCCACAACTTCCCAATTCCCACATTCCCCAATTCCTACATTCCCCAATTCCCGCGTTCCCCAATTCCCACACTCCCAAACTCCCACATTCCCCAATTTCTACATTCCCCAATTCCCACATTCCCTAATTCCTACATTCCCCAATTCCCACATTCCTCAACTCCCACATTCCCTAATTCCCACATTCCCCAATTCCACATTTCCCAATTCCCATATTCCCAAATTCCACAATTTCCTAATTCCTACATTCCCCAATTCCCACATTCCCCAATTCCCACATTCCCCAATTCCCACATTCCCCAATTCCCACATTCCCCAATTCCCACATTCCCCAATTCCCACATTCCCCAATTCCCACATTCCCCAATTCCCATATTCCCCAATTCCCACTTTCCCCCCAATTCCCACAATTCCCAATTCCCACAATTCCCAATTCCCACAATTCCCAATTCCCACAATTCCCAATTCCCACAATTCCCAATTCCCACAATTCCCAATTCCCACAATTCCCAATTCCCACAATTCCCAATTCCCACAATTCCCAATTCCCACAATTCCCAATTCCCACATTCTTCAATTCCCACATTCCTCAATTCCAAAATCGTCGAATGGTAAGAATTAAAATCCCCAAAAGTGTAATAACTACAAAATATCAAAATTCCAAAATCCCAAAATTTCGAAATCACCAAGTTCTAATTAACCCCCTAAAAGTATAATAACTATAAAGTAGTAAAATTCCAAAATTCCAAAATACCAAAGCTGCGAAATCCCTAAATCCTAATTAACCCCCAAAGTACAATAACTACAAAGCATCAAAATTCCAAAATACCAAAATTCCCAAGAACGCGAAATTCCCGTAGTTAAGTACCCTAGTCAGGCATTATAAGATTCCTTAATGCACAAAGATCGACAACCATGCAGTATTCTCAAGGATTACGTTCGTTGCCTCTCGATTCGACTCACCCCCCGCTACTTCCATACCATTACTCCGGTATCGCGTGTTTTTATTCGATTACGTCGATCCTCTACTTATCCCTGGAATCCAATATAAGGATTTTTCGTTCGATCAGCTCGCGTGCAATCTTTAACAACAGTCGAACAAGATGTAAAGAAGATGAGCAAACAAGATACACCCTCGGGGACCGACGACGTCATCCCTTAATTCGATTCTGAAATGGTGACCTACACTTCGATTCCAAAATTTCATTCGACGAATTAAGTCTAATTTAATGTTGGAACTTTTGCAACTGGTTTTGTCACGTTTAATGTTACTGTAGGCAAGTTTTAATGTAACTACGGGCGTGTAAACAAATTACATGACGCTGTAATTTGACTTTAAATTGCAGTTTCGGATACAGATGGAATAAGAGGAATTTTGTGGAAGAGGATTAAGAATTGTATGAGAGGATTAAATATATAGAAGCGTAAAATATTTATTATATATGAAGGAGCACAGAAAATATATATTTTACTATGTATAATATGAATTAGTATAAAATGTATACATTTTATTGCAGTATAAAAAGGAATATTATATAATATTATATTTTAAAAAATGTATAAAATATATAAAATATACATTAAGTACACAATATTAAGTATATGAATATAAATATATAGTATTAAATGTGTACAGAATATATTAAAAATATATAATATAATGTTTGTTATAATACATATATTATATAACATAATATCTTTTATATATTAAAAAATATACAAAATATATAAAATATACATTAAGTACACAATATTAAATATATGAATATAAATATATAATATTAAATGTATACAGAATATATTAAAAATATATAATACATTGTTTGTTATAATAAATATATTATATAATATAATATCTTTTATATATTAAGAAATGTACAAAATATATAAAATATACATTAAGTACACAATATTAAATATATGAATATAAATATATAATATTAAATGTATACAGAATATATTAAAAATATATAATACATTGTTTGTTATAATAAATATATTATATAATATAATATCTTTTATATATTAAGAAATGTACAAAATATATAAAATATACATTAAGTACACAATATTAAATATATGAATATAAATATATAGTATTAAATATGTACAGATTTTATTAAAAATATATAATATTGTATTTGTTATAATATATATATATATATTATATAATATATAAGAGTAAAGATGGTTACACAAGAGTTAAAAAATAGTGCATGCAGAAAATAAGGATCGAAATGATCAGAAATACGTGTTAATATGCCGCAGCTAATTATCTAGCATTCTGACGCTATGGAGGATTTTAACGCAACCACCTAAGAGGCTGGTACACAGTAGAAGGTTAACCATCGTGGCCAACCACGAGATCACCGCGAACCTCGAGGCTTCCGAAGCTCTCCGGATTCAACCTCGCACTATACTCGCTGAATCCAGTACGATTAGGAACTGGTATGCGCCCCACGCACACGAAACATTATCGACATACATACTGGATCCATTAAGATACCATAAAACTTGTTTACGACTTCGATTATTCGGTTCTTAATTGGTTAACATTGGGGTAATTGTGTAATAGGGTTGTAAAGAGCTAAATAATTAGCGACGTGAATGTATGTGGTAATATGTGAAAACTGTAGTGGAAATGAGGGGGTGTAGTAGGATAGTATGATGCGCTGGTAATTCAAAATTTAAAATTTTGGAATTTTGGAATTTTCAAATTTGCAAGCTTTAAATTTTTATATTCTGGAAATCCCAAATTTTCAAATTTCCATATTCCTCAATTCCCACATTTTCCAATTTCACAACTTCCCAATTCCCACATTTCCCAATTTCACAACTTCCCAATTCCCACATTTCTCAATTTCACAATTTCCCAATTCCCACATTCCCCAATTTTACAATTTCCCAATTCCCACATTTCCCAATTTCACAACTTCCCAATTCCCACATTTCTCAATTTCACAATTTCCCAATTCCCACATTTCCCAATTTCACAACTTTCCAATTCCCACATTCCCCAATTCCACAACTTTTCCATTCCCATATTCACCAACTCCCACATTCCCTAATTCCCATATTCACCAACTCCTACATTCCCCAATTTTACAATTTCCCAATTCCCACATTTGCCAATTTCACAACTTCCAAATTCCCACATTCCCCAATTTCACAACTTCCCAATTCCTACATTCCCTAATTCCACAACTTCCCAATTCCCACATTCCCCAAGTCCACAACTTTCCCATTCACATATTCACTAACTCCCACATTCCCCAATTCCCATATTCACCAACTCCTACATTCCCCAATTCCCAAATTCCCAAATTCATAAGTCTCCAAGTTTCAACTTTCAAATAAGAATCTTTGAGGACTACGTATCTCAACCTCGCCTCAAACTGGAAATCAATGCCACCTAAGCTCATTTATGAATTTATGAATTTCTATTTAGAATCTATTCTCTAATCACCTTATAAAATTATTCAGTTGATTAGAGTATTGCCTCAGAAATTTTAAATAATTTTTAAACTTACCTCTGTTCCATTATGTCCAGTTAAATTAAAAGGTCCAATAAAATTGATACACATATATTATCTATTAATCTGTATGTATATTTTATTAGTAACTCGTCTCTGCAATGACATTTACAAAAATGTAACATATACTATAAATAACTATTACTACTTATGTACAGAGTATTTTGTCATAAATGATATGATATCGAATTGGTATGATATCCAGCATTTTTGATACCCTCATACAATCATTTGCAATGAATCCTAACTACAAATTATAAGTTATAAAGAATAAATAATCTTATATTACAATACACGGTAATTAAAATAATTCACTGATTATATATGGACCCTCGGTTGTTAGAAACGCTTCTGGCAGTACATATTTCTACAGCATTTAATGCATATCGAGTAAATTGTTATAAAAAGTTGTGGTAAAACTATGTAAATGCTTAGCATATCTCTTTTTGATTATTATTAATCTTAAGGCTACCGGGTTCCACTGTATCAAAAAAAATTCCTTGTGCCTAAGATATGAGATATTTTTGATTAGACTAGCTTTGTGCGGTCGTTAGCGTTTAAAATTACAACGCTTCATTCTTACATTACTTTCAGATAATTTATTTTTATAAAATACTCTGCAACTTTGTCGAATTCGATATTTCGCCTAGTTAGTCTACAACATTTTCAATCAACGTTAACGTATTCCCCTGTAACCGTAGCTGTTTGATGATATCTTCGTCTGCCAGCGAAATCTTCGTTTTCTTCGTTCAACTGAGCCGAAGATGTTTCAACACCTGGATGCACAGGTGCAACAACAATTTGTTCGTAATCGTACATTTTTCTCCTGTAATTAAGAAACAAATAAAAATAGTTCTATCAAGAAGAAATATTGCAAAATAATTACCCCATTAGTCTTAGCAAAGATATTTTCAACCATTTGAAGAATTTAAATTCTGATGATACTCCTGGTATCACGGCAGGGTTAGCATGACCTACGTAACTCCAAACTAGAAAAACGACGACAATGTTGGCTATGGCGTAACCCCAATGGACGAGAAACATGATAAGCAATTTTATGAGGCACTGAAAAATAAAATATTAGCACGTGCTCCCATAATTGACTTCACGAGTAATATAATTGAGTACAACACTTACTCCTAGCAAGGAGAGCCATCTGTTACATAAAGGACTGTACCAATTCCCCAATTTATTATGGATATGAATTTTCTTTTCCGAATTTTCCACGGTGCTGCCATTTTCATCGACACTCGGAGAAGAATCTATGTAGACGTTATTTTCAGAAAGACTAGGATTTCTCTAAAAACGATGGGAACCATTAACTCCTTATCTTTATACAATGATCAACTGTACTTACAACAAGATTTTTGTGTCTTATTCTTTCAGGGAATAAATTGTCCAAATCATTGTCTGTGTCTGTTATCGAATTATTTCTGCTTGCGGAACCGTAGTTGCGATCGAATGTTGGTGACTGTGTACGAAATCGTTGTTCCCGGTTCAATTGTATGTCGAACGTTTGCGCAAGAGCAAAATATGCATAGTCCAAGCATGCATATGTTAAAAGAAAGGGCATTGTAACGATTGGCGCAAGAGTATTAATTTGGCCAGTAATGATAAAAGTCAATGTAACGACAGCAACAACTAACATGGCGTATATCGGCACTTTGTTTGGTCCTTTCTGAAAAGTATATTTTGTTATTTTATTATATTATATAATTTAAGGATATAGTAATTGTATTATTCTTACCCCTCTTTGTAAACAGCTCATTCCTGGTATAACATTTTGACTAGCAATAGACTGAAGAACTCTAGGAGTACCGTACATCGCACCTAAACAACTACTAAATGATGATACATAAAGGCCTGCTAATAATAGTACCGAAATCGCTGATACTGTTGATGCTATCATGAAATTCGTGAGAAGCGCATTTCGAGTACAAGTCGCTGCGAGAAACATTGAGAAACATAGATACAATAAAGTTCTGAAATCAAATTAAAATCAGGTGTAACTTCTCGATAATATGAGGTATCAAAATATTTTAGTTATGATTTTTACCCGGTCCCTACTGCTGCTAATGTACCATTAGGTATATCTGTGGATGGATGTCTTAAATCTCCGCTCATATTGATACCAGCTAACACACCAGTTACTGTGGGAAAGAATACACCAAACACTGTGAACCAACTGTATCCATCTTGATATGCGGGGAAAGTATTATTTTTTAAATTTCCTGACAGCCAACCCTCAAAACCAGCCTCTAAAAATATTCATAGAATTATTTATTTCTGTTAATAGTAGTAACTGTGTTGGAAGCTGCAGCTTACCAATATTCACATGAGTAAAGCTTCCAACCATAAAATCTACACCAGCTAATAACAAAATTAGCAAAAGAATGAATTGCAGCTTTATCACCCATTTGACACCAGCAACATTTATAATAGACAACAAGATAACTGCAGCACAAGCAAAACCACGTTCTGCCCATGCAGATTCTAAACCTACAAGACCAGCCATAGATTCTCCAAAACCTAAAACATTTAGAGCACAGCCCACCGCCTACAAATAATTTTAATGTAATACTGTAGGTACAGAGTTAGGAGTATAGGAGTTCTTGTACCTGCCCAAAACAATATAGCAATCCAATAGAACCCCCAAATCTTGATCCTAACACATGTGATAGTAAAAAATAAACCCCTCCACTTTCAACTCTACATCTTTCGCATATTCCCACAGCAGATAATACAGTTACCAATGCAATGCACACTAAAACAATTAAAGAAATTGATTCTGAAGTTCTCAAAATTGTTATTACTAACAAACAATCATTATTACCTGTACAAAAGATTATTAATATTGCATTAAGAACACCAGCTTGACCTACTATCCATCCTGATCTTAAAAATACAATGACTCCAAAAATATTAATAAGACAAGATGTAAAAACTCCATCCCATGTTCCAAACAATATAGGTTGTGAAATAAAGAAATTTGATTTCCACCATGGATCCGAACTCTGAAAGATATGAATTTAAAGAAAACTCATGAGCATTGCTATTGTAATTACTTACATATTCTTGAGCAAAAAGTTCATTTGCTCCAGTTTCATACATTTCAGGTGCAAGTTCTTGGTATTCTCTATTATTCCTTCGTGTTTCATCATTTCTCTGTGTTTCTACGTTATTATGTAAACCATATCTGGACCAATCTATGTCCCTGTTACTTGCAGCATCCCCATTTGATAATTGATTCCTTTCGTTTGACTCCATTTCTCTTTTTATGCAAATGTAATATTTTGTACAATAATTATCTATTTGTAAAGTTGTACAAGTTGTAAATAGTAAATTGGTAGGCACATGAAACACCTTCTATGTATTTCCATTTTTACATCATTTATAAAAGTACAAAGTACTGTTTACTAGGTATAGTTAACGTAGAATAAGCATTAGATTATTTTAGTATCACGGCATAAAAAAAACGTCAGATTCATTGGACGTACATGTTTATTAAAAATCTCATTAAAATAGGTTAGAAAACGGTTCGGATACTTATGCGAAACGATAATGATTTGATAAATCCATTTTTCTGAGATTATCAAACACTTATATTCCCGTTATCCTCTTAAATATATCACCGACTGGTGACGTGTTGTACAACGATAGAACGACCATTTCGAATCCTTCTTAACGGTATCATATATAGTTCGGGCAGCGTAGGAGTTGATTACTTCATCTCTACATACATTGTAGATACATATAACTATACCGTTATCTATTCATCTTGTCTTTACAGAACAATGTTACGTTTTCATAATAGAATGTATAATGTATGTATTCAATGAACGTTTGATCATAGTATCGAATAAAAAATACATAAATATAATCCGGATTTAAAATATACATTTATTCATGTCCATTACAGATTATAAACAAATCATATCCACATAAATGTATTAATCTAGAAATACATTCACTCACAACGTTCATTCGCTTCAGAAAGGTAGAAAATCCAAGTAACTTCAGGATTTATTTGAGGTCATTGTTCGTTTATAATATAATGTCTACGCGCAATCTAAAAGTAACCGCCAAACACTCCTCATTCATGTGCTCAAGTAAACATTTTCACAACACAAAACATACGTTTTCAGTTCTTTAAAGAACTGATTTCGGCATAATAATATTAATAATTGATAGTTCTATGTCACGAAGTATTAAATTGTATATTTACAATAACATTCATGCTCCTCTCCTCCATTTTTCACCGTTGCTAAATTTGGTCATTTCTCGACCGCTTACACCACATGTTCCTATTCCAACTCGACCATTTACATTTTCTGGTGTTGCGAATATACTCTTCTTAATTACACCTTTCTTTGAAGACTGCATCACAAAAAAATTTGCATGTGAATAACTAAAAAATATACTGATTTGAAAACTGTGTTTTAATAATACCTTATTAGTAAATGCTAGCCACTTATTTTTCTCCATTTCGCGTTCCTCTTCGAGCTCCTTAAATCTTTGAAGTTTTCTCTGTTTCTTTTTCTTAAGGTATTCTCTTTGTTTATTAGGATCAGAACCTGCTACTGCAGCAGCTTGCATTTTTCTGTAAAGCAATAGATCTATCATTTCTGAAAGTAACTAGTGAAAATAAATCTTCATTGAGACATTAAATTTCCATTGTTATGTTACTGCGAAAAATGAGATTGTATAAATTATTGTAAAATGTATGCATCAGATATACGACTTCCACTAAATTTAATATTTCACATCTGTAATAAAAAAATCAAAATAATATTATTTTACCTAGGAACTTGTTAACTTGAATGAACACAAGTTAAGGTTAAAAATTTCACTATGTTAAATAAATTTTACTATATTAATTGTATTAAAAATGTTATTATGATATTTAAATTTACACTTAATCTAATGCATTATTTATAATTATGTACAATGGTACAGATAGATAAAAATGATATTTCAACAAAAATCTAATATTTCTTGTTACCTTTTCCTGAGTTCCGGCGATGTACACGATCAGTTCAACACCAAGAGACAAATGAACAAATGAATTTCAGATCGAAGCACACCAAACAGTGGAGTGATTATCGTAGCCAATTGGGAATAAAGGAATAAGGAGAAAAATGAACGATTAGTAATCATTGTATTCATAAAACTTAACCCGCAATGTTCCTCGAGAACTGATATGTACTCAAAATTGCAGGGGGGATTATGTTAATATTAGCTGCTAATAAATAAAATTAATGAATCTTTGTTCAAACTTACTTTGACTTTTGATCTGCCCAGTCTGATGCTGGCCTTTTGGCTACTGATTTTAACTGACTAAGCATTGTGACATCAGTGTTTTTATATTCATTAAAAGTTACATTAACCACTCCATCCTCGCTTATTGCATCTATTGTTGCCTCGTAATATCTAAGAAAAATTGAGTTATAGTAATGGAACATATGTGGTTCCTATGACAGCTTCAATTAACCAATTAATATTAGACAGCTGATTCTCATTTTTTATTAGAGTACAGCAATGTAGAAATTGCAATTACTTACTTGCCATCTTCGCTCCAAGGTGCCATGCACTGATCGCCAATCTTCCATTTATTAGCCAGAACTGCAAGTAAAATAGGATCTTTAGCATCCATGCCATTGGCTTGCCTTTTTTCCTGTTGTTGTGATTTAATTAAATCATGTGTCAGCTCTATTACTTCCTCGAGATCGATTTTCAATTTTAAGAGTTCTTCATTAGAAGGATCCGTGGTAAGAGCTGCCTCCACCTAAAACAATAATATACAAATTTCGTTTAACACTGTTACATCGTAAACAACGAAAGATTCACCAAAAATGGACTCGCCATTTCAACATTTGAGTTAGGTTAAGCAATAAACAAGTTCTTTACCTGTTGTAGCTGTAATTTATAATTCTGTAAATCGTCCATGATGAAATCTAAATTTGCAGCTAATTAATAAAGCTGAAAATATGATCCAACAGCCCTTTTTTCTCCTACAAATTACTGTCACAAAAGCAAGCAAAAATGAACACTGCCGAACACCCTATCCTCTATAGGTATACTGTGTATACGAATATGATAAACGCAAAACAATTTGAGATGGCACTATCACTTGTAAAGTGCATAGCCACAGATGCAATGTGAGATAGAGCAATCATCTCATGTGAATTTGTGTTACATGATCTGAAATACCGACTATTGTATCAAATATGTTTCACCATTTGATGTTGAGTAGCGCTAGTGGTATAATTCTTAATTTTTCCATGATATGAACATCATTCGTACCACTACAAATATCAATCAGCTGACCTGAATAATCTAAAAATATTTATATGTTAAATTAATTATATATATAATATTCTGTTCGTGTAAAAAAGGGTTCGATATAATGACAAGTTATTGACTACTGTTCGTGTATTTTAGCTTTCTCTATGTAATACATATGCATGTTTGTATTGTTGGTATAACTGCAAGCCGATGAACTCATAATTGAATTACTAAAATCGAACGAGGAGAATGTGTGAATAGAAAGTTTTAATTTAAATATATAGAATACGCAAGGAATTAGTGTTTTCTTAAGTTACAAGTGGAATACTCCAATTTCTGTTTGATAAAAAGTACCGTCATACTTTATCGTTTACAGTTTGCATAAAATCTTGTAGGTGTGGTACGAATATATACATAATACTTATTAGTAATTCTCTTGTAGCTACTTTCATATACTAAATAGGTTATTTGACATATGTCAGATTTCATATTACTGAATTAGTGACTAATTGGTAGAGTCAGTAAAAGAATAAAGCAAATAGAACCTGGTATCAAGCAATAATAAATTACATGAAAATGTGGTGGTAGTGATGCGTTTAAAAGGGAAAAATAATACAAAATCGTTTCATAGCGTCTATAAGGTGCTTTCGCGTATATGTCGTAAGTATGCTTATATTCAATACTGATTTGTTACTTTTAAATTAATAAATAAGTTAAAGATGATTGAACAAATATGACATTGAAATATATTCAGTTTAAGTCTACTGCAGTATCTGTTACTTTAATAGCTTTTACTTTATACTTAATTTTTAAAGATACATTTCTCCAATAAATTTTAGAAAATAGACATTTATTTCATTATTTATGTACTTCTAGATTAAGGAGCATATTTTTGAAACATAAATGATAGAGTGGAATCACAGAGATTTTCCACTAATAATTAATTAAAAGAGTTTCCTACATGTTTTTTAATATTTCAATATTATATAGCTATAACTTAATATTAAAATCCATAACATCTATATTTGGGTATATCAAATTTTAAGAGACACAATTTCTTACACTATATTTCAAAAGTCAATAAATATGTGTAGTTGTATAAGCCTAAAATAAAGTAATCTGTAAATATGATACATATCATGAAAGCCATAATTTATTCATTAGGAACTGCAGATAAAAGACAACTTGATGGTTTCATGGCGGATGGTGCAGCGCCACCAATAAAGAATGGACATAACTGCAGTAATATGGGTTTTGCAACGCAACCTGTAAAGCAAACCTCTGATGTGTCTAACATTGTTTATGCAGTGGGGCAATATGCCCCCAAAGTCTTAAGGAACTTGAATACCCAAAGATTAAAAAATCAATTTAGCGATGTTGGTTTGGTTGCTGGTGGTAGTGTCATTAGAGCACATAGATCAGTTTTAGCAGCAGGAAGTGCATATTTCAATGCTATGTTTACTGGTGGTCTTGTTGAAGAACAACAGGAGTTGGTGGAAATTCATTCAGTATCAGCTAACATTCTTTCCCTTCTGATAGATTTTATTTATACTGGAAATGTTGACATCACTCAGGACAATGTTCAAGAATTATTTGCAGCTGCTGATATGTTAGAATTAGATGAAGTAGTGTCTGGTTGCATTACTTATTTAAAACAGCAACTTCACTATTCAAATGCGCTTGGGATTTATAGGTGAGATCAGTAAGATTGAAGAAAAGCATTTTGTAAATTGTAGGTTTATTAAGTATAATTACAATTTTATATAGTATTATCTTCTAAAATTATTGTATTAAATAGATTTGCAGAAGCACATAACAGATTAGATCTTTTGGAAACTGCCCTACGCTTTATACAAGTCAATTTTCCTCAAGTATCTCAGGAGGAAGAATTTTTGGATCTGCCGAAAGAACATCTTGTTCATTTTCTTAGTAGTGATTACATTCATATTGATACTGAATTTCAGGTTTGTATTTTCATATATGCTCTTGAACATATATACGAATTTGATTTAGTTAATTATTTTAAATGTTGTACTGGTATGTTAATAGGTCTTCCACGCAGCATATAATTGGATTGTCCATGATATACCAACAAGAAGATGTTATGTATTTGAAATATTAAGTCACATTCGTTTACGACTGTGTTCATTAGCACGATTGGAACGAGTTATTCTGGAATGTAAAGATGCAAGTTTGATTGTTGCATTAAGATCAATACAAAAAGATTTAATATCTAATAAAGGATGTCTTGTGCCTCTTCACGCACAACCTAGACTTTGCGCTAAAAAGAATATTCTAGTGATTGGTGGATCAAGACGTGAACATTCAGCAGACAGCTGGGGTAGAGCTGCTGAAAGTACTTATGAAACGATCGAAAAATATGACATATTTACAGGGTAAAATTTTATATGAACCTTAAAAAAAACTATGCAAATCTTGTATTACTTTTTTCATTCATAAGATTCTATTAATTTTATAGTGAATGGAGTGAAGTAGCGCCAATAGGTATAGGTCGAATACTGCCGGGAGTGGCATTGTTAGATGGCAAAGTATATGTCGTTGGCGGGGAGTTGGAATCGTGTATTATTGCCAATTGCGAATGTTATGATCCACGTGATAACGTGTGGACTTCTATTGCCTGCATGGAAGAACCCAGATGCGAATTTGGACTTTGTGCCTTGGATAATAGTTTATATGCATTTGGTGGTTGGGTAGGAGAAGATATTGGTGGATCAATAGAAATATATGATCCAATAACTAATTCTTGGACGCTGGATGGACAACTTCCCGAACCTCGGTTCAGTATGGGAGTAGTTGCTTATGAGGGTAAAACTAATATTTTACAGATTAATTAATTTGACTGTATTTTGTTTAGGAAAACATTGAATATATTATATTGTTTAGGTTTGATATACGTGGTGGGTGGTTGTACACATAATAGCAGGCACCGTCAAGATGTAATGAGTTACAATCCAGTAACAAGGGAATGGACTTATTTAGCTCCCATGCTTACACCGCGTTCACAAATGGGAATTACAATTCTTGATGGATATCTTTATGTTGTTGGTGGTACTAACAAAAATCAAGAAGTCTTAACATCTGTTGAACGTTATTCTTTCGAAAAGGTGATTTGAGTACTGCTTTTTTCCAATACATTATAGTTTTGTTCAGATTCTTTGTATTTTCGATACTTTATGTTTCAGAATAAATGGAGTACTGTTGCACCTATGAATATGGGCAGATCATATCCTGCAGTGGCAGCAGCTGATAGCCGACTATATGTTATAGGGGGTGATCAGTCTCAGGAAATCAATTTTTATCGAACCCAAATTACAATTTCTACCGTTGAATGTTATGATCCGCATTCAAACAAGTGGCACGAATGTGCTTCGTTACCGACAAGTAGGGGCGAAGCAGCGGCAATTGTTGCACCTTTTTGATTGAAATTTCCTTTCAGTATTGAGAAATTTATATAAGTTGAACATTCTTTGTATCGTTTTATTCGTGTTTACTTTTAAATTTATTAACAATTTTTTTAACGTAAACGCGAAACTCACACTTATTCAATATTTTATGTCACACACAATCATAATCAAACACATATACGTATTTTTTTATCGATCACAAGCTTAAGAATATCATTATTTCAATATTCACAGCATATTTCTTTTCTAATGAGCATAAGATGCAACAGGATTTGAGAGACAAGGAAAATTTTCCATTATAAGAGTAGTACAGTGTTATTTTCTACATCCACAATATTAAATTATGTAAACTAATTTTCACCAAAAGTTCATTGCATATATTTCTTAATGAAAGTAGCGAAACTGACTTCCATACAGTTTAAAAACTTTTTAGTATAAATGATTTTATTAGTTGTAGAAATGACTGACAGCCTCCATATCCTATAGTCATTTACCAAAGTTATTAAAACTACAAAATATGATATTCTATCGTAAATCTTATTACACTACAACGAGAGATAAGCGAAGAGAATATTTCGGCATATTATGGATGAAATGAAATGTCTTGATGTAAAAGAGTGAAAGTGAGATTTATCTAGTTTTCATTGTGAATTGTATACTACAGTTACGCGTGCTTTTGATATTTATACATCTTTTTTTTTTTTTCAAATTAATACTTTTGCGATAGCCGTGTACGTATATTTCGTTACTTATTAAGTTTTATCGGTGTAAGGAGTAACCTACTTAACACTACGATTATATTATCATTTTAATCAATTTTTTTAAAAAACACCATAAAGATATTTTACAAATCATAAAATCATATTTTAATAGAATCACATATAGTATTTGTAAGTTGTGGAATCGAAGTTTATGTTCATAGATTTCATAGAGAAAACTTTATTATGGTTAAATGCGTGTTTGGTGCTAATGGTGGAATTAAAAAATCATTTTTATATACCGTAATTTTCGTAATCGAATTTGATTTTTAAAATTCCGAAATAAAAAAATAAATGAAAAGTACATTTGAAGAAATTAAAAAGAGCATCTTTATGATATTATATATAATATATATGGTTCTTGCAAATTCATAATCATTAATAAGTACTTAGCTTGAAAATAATTTTTATAATGTGTATATATACAATGTATCAATGTGATTCTATGATCAGCTATTCTTTACGTTTCTATCATACCAAGTTTTACTACATCAAGTACCAATTTTGCGTACTTCTTATACCAAAGGTTTTTCAAACAAATGATTTATATAAAAATCATACTGAAATAGTTAATATAAAAAATATAATAACAATAACTTGTATTATTTTCATCATCAGACTTTTTATTTTAACTTCAGAATCATATTGTCATTTTAATTAATGCGTGTTATACACATTGCAAGTGAAAATGAAATCTTAAACAACGTCGTTCGTTTGAAATATTTTAAAGCATCTTATAAATTAATCATATATATATATTTCAATATCTGTTTAATATTTTGAATGTTTCACAAATCGTAATTTGTGTTTAGATATCTTTTTAATCGTATTAGTATAACTATTTCTTTTTCTAATAGCATTGTATATTTCCTATTATGATATTTTGCGGATATGTACGTATACAAAAGTGCTATTAAGTAAAAGGCCTTCATATATTATTAAAATATTTTGAGGACATAAAGAGCTTGGTCTTTAAATTTTGCTTGGTTTCCAATTCGAACGTAGGAGCTGAAATAATTCGTATCACGTACCTACTAGTATTGAAACTAAAGGAATTGTATTGAAATCATAAATAATCAAGGAATGTCGTAAATATAATGATATTATATGTGTTTATATGCATAATGCTTTATGCCAAAGTAAACAAGAATGTATTTGGAGAGACAAACATTTCACATGCAATTTTGATACAAAAATTATTATGATCAAGAAGTATGTTTCATAGCAAGAGATTATATAAAGCAAATATGACTGTATTCTCTAATAATACTTAAAAATTGTAATATCCGTACACAAGTTCAATACGTGGACATTTTCCACGATATACGCTAATAAAATATCAAATTCTCTTACAAATTATAAACAAATATTTAAACATCCATTGCCACTAGTTTTATTTAATTACTTGAAAATAAAGTGTTAGATAATTCTTGATCATGTGTTTGGTTTAAAATATTGCTTTTATGAAAAATAGAATTCTTTTTCATTTTTATTATTAGCTTTACCACTTATGAGCATTTAAGGGAACAACTAAGTGATTTTTAAAATGTAATAAATTTAATATTGCTTATGATATGAAACTTTTTATTTATAAGGACTGACATATATTTCTTTTTAAGTAAGTCTAGAATGAATTTCTAATAAAAAAATTTGTGTATAACTTGTTAAAAGAAGTCCAAGAAATAAATACTTTCAAAGTTCATTGTAGATGTCTATCTTATGTATCATGTAACAGACAGTTATATAGCACAACTATTTATAAACAATAAGCCAATGACACTTTTACGAAGATCATATAAATGTATGGTACACATGTTTTACATATACCTACTGATTCTATTACAAAACATAGTCCAATTCATATCTAATATATTGATTCTTTGGATCATTCATAATTCGAGGATAACCAGCCACAAGAGCATCTTGTCCACCTATGTAAAGAGAATTATAAATTTTCCAATATACATCTCGTACCTTTCGTGCTGGGTGAAATAATCCCTGTAAATTAAAGAACATAATTATTAATTAATTTTTCAAGTTAACACAAAGTGCGAAGTTTTCATCCTAAAATAGAAACATTGATATAACAAACAATATACTTGCATACCTGTAAAGTATATTGCAGTATTTTAATTGGTCCAAGAGCGACACGTAAACCATCCACTGCATCCATGAAAGCTTGTACCAAATGTGGCGAAGTTTCAAAAACATTTGGCCATACATGATTCAATAAATGTATTAACGCATCCTCGCATCCAAATCCATAAACTCCCAACGCCATGTGTTTAATCGCAGCACATGCGGTTTGTCTATGAACTAAATCCCTATTGCAAAAGAATGAATACAAATTTTAATTTCATAAGAAAAAGAAATTAATTTCACATAGACAAATACTTACCTATCCATGAGTGCATCTTCCAATAGTGGACTCACAGCATAAATGTAATCTTTTCCCATTTCACCAATATATTCGAATAAAAAGGATAGAGATTTTAATACACCATTTTGTACGTTTAACTCCGGTACTCTGTATTCGTTCATTAACGCCGGAAGTACTGTAAATGGACTGCAAGTTTCGGCAACGATAGCTATAGCTACCGTGGTACATACACGATTCTGTCGTTCTTGTACTTTCAAATTATTCAACAATGTAGCCAATACATCGTGAGGTCTGAAAAATGAATTGAAACATATAACGAAATATCAAAATGTAATATGTAATAAGATCTTTAAACTTTAATAATTACCCTATTGCCTTCGCGATGTAACCAAATGTATTTACTGTAGCTCTTCTAATCGCCTTCTTGTGGGCTTTGAGTAGTTCCAATAATTCGAAACATATTCTCATCCATTCCCTGGCGGATACATATTCGGGACCTCTATCTGCAATTCTACCTACGAGGTCAATACAATTTTCTTGTACCTTTTCATGTCTGTTTTTCAATATAGGAGTAAGTCGTGGCAGCAAGTCTTTAATTGGCGGAGTCATTTTTGTCATTCCTATGACATTAACGATAGCTTTTAATGCGCCTAAGATGCTACCTAGTACTTCCGGATATTCTTCACCTAAATATTCATAGAGGACAACACCTAAATGGCCCATTAATTTTTCCTATAATAACAGAAGAAATAAATTTGTTAATATTAAATATAATCGATTTAATACAATATCGAGTTTACCTCTTGACACGTTTTCATAACAACAGCAATTCTTGATATTAAGTCAGCAGCTTGTTGTCTCACTTTTGCAGATTTGTTATTTAATCTCCATAATATTGTACCACATATTTGTGGAAGATATGCCTTCACTCGCTTTCCTAATGTATTTACTATTGTACCAAAACCATTCAACATTACTACATCCTGTAATAGTTAATATATTCATTAAAACAAATCCATAAATTTAATTAGCACAAGAATTACAATTACTTACTTCCGTCGTCTGCTCCTGAAAAGCGTATAAAATACCATCTATAAGCTGTTCTTCTAAGCGAGAGTCAACATCAGCAGCTCCTAAATTACCCATGATTTTTTCAATAGTTTCCATAACCATTTTTCTGTATTGTTCATTTTCATCTTTCAAGTCATCTACTACACGATTTATAATTTCTGATGCACCAACTTTATTTGCAATTTCCACGGTTGTATCTACGAGCTAAAAAATTGCAATTTTTTTGAGTTGAAATCTACATTATTAAATACATATTTATTTGTAAATAACATACATACCTGTCTGTAATTCCTACGATCTAAAGCCATTCGATGATTCCAGAAGTGTTTGAAGAAATGTGGAAGAATTTCATCTTTGATATATTGCGCTTCTACACCATCTGTACCACAACATTGTTTCACCACCTATCAAAACATACATATATATTACATATTCAATATAATTCGTATCGCTATTATTATTAAGACTTACCTTTAAAACAATCTTTTTCATTTCTTCATCAGGAGATTGAAATTCACGTATGAGAATCAACATCACTTCACGAGTATAATAATTGGCATATTCGGCGTCCATAAGAGGAATTAAATAACCAATAGCCTTCAAGAATGCAGCAAGACCTTTTCCTCTGTGAGTACGGATACCTTTCCACAGTGGTTTCAAAACAGAATCAAAACTTTCAATACCATATGGCGTTGCCGCTTCGGCTAAAGCAGCAATTGCCAAAGCGGTGATGGTACGAACTTTTTGTTGCTCGTCGACTAGACCTGGAAGATAATATTTTATATTTGTTACTTACACGAACCATTTATTATTGTCATTATAGATTGATTTTTAATATTTTATTTACCATGTTCAATAATTTCAACTAAACTCTTCAAATGTGGTAATATAGCGCATCCCATAAGGATAGCAATTTGTTGTACAATTTTTATACCAGTGTGACGAGCCTGCCACGATTTTTTGCTGCGACACACGGCTTTTAAGAACGGAAGTAAAGAAGGAATTCCCAACGCTGAAGCAACTACAGCAAACGCTCTCGCAGTTGTGTTACGCACGTATTCATCAATATTATCGATATCTGGTCTCATTGTGGAGATCATCGTCGCTAAACCTGCCGCCTTCGCTAAATTAGAAATAATTTCTCTACCCTCTACACGAGCATAGTAATCCTCGTCAATGAGTAAAGGTTCGATGACGACTAGAATCTGCAACATAAATTATATTTTTAAATATATTAATATGAGAAGATGACAGTTAAAATATTATATAACAATTCGTAAACTCACCTTATGTACATAAGGTCGCACCAAATCATCTAATTTGTAAAGAATACGATCAATAACTTTCACTAAAAGATGACGTTCTTGATCCTCCAACGTAGGAGACATAAGGAGAGGAAGTATCTGGTTAAATAACGGACCCGCGCCAAATTCTCTTGCCTTGTCAGTTATTTGTCTTAAAGCAGCTTTCCTCATCGGCGGTGTACCGTTTTTAATTTTTAACAATAACTTCATAATTTTCCTCTCCTTTTGTTCTTCAGGACTGAGTGTCTCTTCGTCAACGTCAACTAATAATTTATCAAAATATTGTGCGTCTTCTGGTTTCATGAAAGGTAAATTTCCTTTAGGTTGATTATCCACGAATTTCGCGGTTTTGTCTTCGGTCTGGATGAAAAATCCTTGTGGTGTGCCCGCTATCGGTGTAGGCGTAGCAGTAAGTTTTCTTGCGGGTGTACGAATTGGAATATATCCTGTGACGAAGAAATATTCATTTGAATAACAGTTAAAAACATGAATAGCTACAATTGTAAGGCACATCTATATTTTTGTTTACCAGCAGGCGGTTGTAGAACTTTGTATCCAGGTGGGAACAAAGCATCTAATTCGTCGTCTGAAAGTGGTCTATTCCTTTCGTCTATTTCTCTTTCCCAACGATACGCTTGGAGTTGTTCTGGTGTCATTGACATCAGGTGTCCAGGTGTTGGGGTAGCCAATCCCATGGCTTTAGGTCCAGTTGGTGTCACTCCACTAGGTGTTAAAATAGAAGTTTGGTGAGGTGTTGTAAGAGGAGTTGCTGGCGTCTGCGGCGTCATAGAACCAGGTGTCTGATTTGAAGGAGTTTCGTCCCATCGACTTCGACGCTTGCTGGCAGACGGTGTTGGTGTTTCTTGGATTAAATCTCCCGCGACTCGATCTGTCCTCGGAGTCTCTGCCCAGCCACTACTGTGACCCGGTGTTTCTATTTTTTTATAACATTGATGTCAAATATTTGATGTAAAATTTATTATTATTATGTCATAAAATTAAATAAACATACCACGCTCAGTTTTTGGCGTCTCGTCCCATCGATTTCTACGGCTTGAAACAGTTTTTTCATGAGATGGAGTTTCTCTACCAGGAGTAGCTGCACCAGGTGTCGCATGCCCTGGAGTAGCATCCCACATTCGTGTACTTACGCCTGGCGTTGCACCAGGAGTTTCTCCACCTTTACCGTGACCAGGTGTTTCATCCCATCTGATTGCAGCTGGCGTTACCTAATAATATTTTAAATATAAAACCATGTAAATTTTTCCAGACTTACAAATAATCTTAAGTTTATTTACTTACATCTGCATTATCCCAAGATGTTGGCGCTATAGCAGTACCAGATGGTTTCTTAGGTGTTGGAGCATCATCTGTTTGATCCCAACGACCCCTTTTCTTAGGTGCAGGTTTAGGTTCACCATTTGCCTTTAAAGTTCCCTCTTTGGCTTTTTCTGCTAGTTTCTTACGTAACTGCAAAGAAATAGAAAAATAGAGATTATCTTATTCGAAAATGAATAAGAAAAATAAAGGAAAACTCGAGGTTACATACCTCGGTTTCTTCTCCTTTCAACAATTGTTCTCGCATAATCTCAGTATACGTCCTAGAACCGATGTCTGGCGTCTTACCACCTGTAATCAGGAATCAAAAGTCACGCAAAGCGCAACCATTAGTTCCTTGATCAAAGAATGCTTAAACTTTCAAAAACTTCTGAACATACCTAGTCATTTTATTATAATATTTATTATTAAAATGCCCTTAGAATATACAAGTATATCCTAAGTAAACTACTGAATTCACTCTCATTTCCACGTTGCATATACCATCAAGTCAAATGATAAAAGTTTTATAAAGATAATGTAAATCATAAACAATAGGATATATATTTATTTACACAACGGATTTGAGAGAGCTGCAACAGCAGATTGCATGTAGCATACGTACGTGAAAATTTGGTGCCATAGGAAGCACTGTCCTGCTCAAGTCTTCCACATCGAAAAATACTTTAGCCATCTAAAAATCAACTCATTCTTGTTATTAATAATATTTGCACACCATCCACTCATTCTAATTTTCAATATTTACGTTCTCACGAAAAATGTATGATACAATGAGAATTTGATGACATAGGATATATTACGTAAATAATTAAAAAACAAAATAAAAGAAGCTACGTTAACAAGAAAATCCGAGAACACATATATAAAATTACAATTTGATATGAATATATCTCATTGTATCATTTATAGGATGTGACTGTAATGCTGTGACAATTCAATCTCGCTTAACCTTCGACAAAGTATCCTCGGTAAGCAGATGATTCCAAACGTGCAGACCGTCACTAAGATTGGAAAAAAATGTATACATTAGTATGTATTTGAAAGAATCACATTCACTCTTTCCATTCAACCCAGTTCTTATATATTTCACAATGCTTCCACAATCTGAGCATGAAAAAATATTAAATTTATTAACTACCAACAACTGAGGTGTTAACAAACAAAAAGTATTTATAATTTACTGTAAGCATTTAAATAACAATTGAAGATGTTGTTCTTAAAATTGAATATTTTATATTTTTCCACTCAGTTATTGTAGTTAATAATACTACAGCAACCAAATTAAGTCAATTAATAAGTACTGATTCAAAATTAAATATTAAAATCAAGTTCATATGTATAGATATTAAAAGTAATTTTGTTTGCTGTAGTATTTACATACTTAATATTTTTATTTATACATACATATAATTTTATCAAAGTGGCACACAGTATTATATGACTCAATGTTGAAACCCTAATGGTATGACACATTCAGTTAAGTATAAAAGATAAAATGCATAATATGTTAAATAATACCTTAATTATTTATTCAAAAATCACTTCAAAGAATAAGAAAAATAATGATTCTCTTAATTGCACATAAAGTTAAATAATTCATTAATCATTCAATTACTATTTATAAATTGCATAAAAAATATAGATTCTTTCGTTTTTTTTTCATTCCATAACAAAATTTTGAATGTGAATAATAAAAGATAAATCAAAATTATCTTTCAGCTATAAAGGTTTTCTAATATCATCTTTAGTTTTTTGTGTCATTGTATAACTTGATGTGAAAAAGTCAACTTAATTTACTTCTTTACTTTAATATGCCATATATGTATTATTTAATAGAGTAAATAGATAAACTATTTCCTAACTTTTGATCCTCAAAGAGAGGGTATATTTTACTTAGAAACGAAGTTTCATCACATTAAAATTAAGTTGAATCTTTCTTTATGATTTTGTATATTTAACGTGGGTTTATTTCCTCACATATTGCAGTGATAAAAGCTTTATTGTGCATATATTTTGTTGCAATATAATTAGTATGTAATTATACACAACATTCGATTCCAATAAATTTTGCAAAATATTTTTAAATATTTTAATACAAGCATGAAAAACTTGCTGACTAAATATGAAAAAAACTTTAGACCATAAAAAAAAAGGTGTAACTATTATACTCTATTACATTGCTTCAAAATATGAACAAAGATAATAATACATAAACACACTTAATATCTAATTACCTGTTTTATTCTCATATGATTTAACATAACAAAAAAATACCAACCTTCTGCAAAAGGATCAACACGCTCAGGTGATATAATCATTCGCCGCCTCTTTTGTCTGTATTCATCTTCCCTATCTGCTATTGTAGGTCGTCTTCTGTCCGCGAATGGATCATAATCCTTTTCACTCTAAATAATATGAAATGTTAGTATTATTACCACTGTTAACATTATTATAAATATTATAAATGACAATGGTGTTCTACCTGTGCAACATCATTGAGTAATGCAGCTGGTGCATTATAACCAGGCCTTTTATTAGTACTAAAAGTAGTTGGTTCATAATCTTCATCCTTAAAAAGATTAATATGTTGAATGTTACATAAACACACCAAAATCAAATATGAAGATATGAAAAATAAAATTACCTCAATTTCATCATTAGCAGCAATCGAAGTGACATAGCCTTCGTATTTGTTATTACTTCCATCGTAAATGTCTTGGTCATAGAAACCAGTTTTTCCTAGCCCTACTTGCTCTTTCTCTGTTGACGTATTTTGAATCTCTTTTTTCTTTGATTGAATCTCTCTTATTTGTGCTTCAATATCTAAAAAGTATTAAGGTAAGTTAACACAAAAGTATAAGTGGTCAACTAATCAAATATTTAAGCACCTGAGTACTTTTTATTTTAGCAACAAACACTTTGGATCAAGATAGTAGGATATAAAATTTTAAGAATGCATAGTAAAATTAAACTTATAGTTGAAACTATAAATAGTATTAAAACAATATAATGTATAATTCGAGCCCACAGAATTGAATAACAACAAACCTTCGTGCGTTCTTGGAATGGAATCCATCGTGCAGCGTTGAAACCTGACAATGTGTTTTTTTTCGGAAACTTTGTCAGAATTTCAATAAATTTTGTCAGTATTTGAAAATAGAATTATTTTCGTGCGGTCACATAAGCATTAATTCTACGTGTAAACATTAACATTCGATTAAACGCTTAAAACTTGCAGCACAAGACAAAATTTCGTTTATTACCAATTTTTCCATTGGTAATGTTATAAGATGGTAAACTACAATGTATTTCCAAAATCGAAATGTGAATTTACAAAAATAATTCGCTTACAATGGAAACGGATCTAAGGTTAATGTTGAAGAGACCAGAGGCAATACTCTTTAATTTAATACACAATTATAAGAGTACAGGATTAATTACATAAATCGAGTAATTAGTTCTCCTTTTACTGTTGATTTTGATTAAATATAATGAACATATAGTAAGACAACTCTAGGTGGAAGAGAATTTACTGAAGTTAGTCAGGATGCGCAAAGCAAGTCTCATAGAAATGAGCATAAGTGATACGCCATATTGAAATATGTCTATCCTTGTCACATAATATGTCTACCCTTGTCGCACAGTTGACCTCCTCGAATACCTCCTCCACTTTTCTGCGCTCCTGTTACCAGGAGTTTTAGTTCCATAAACCATCCGGTAGATGGACCTATTCAGACTATGATAATACGAGGGTGCAATGAGTTCGAAACCAAAACACCGTTTCAAAGGTGCATATTTATTTGCTTCTCGATTAGTTGACCAATCAAGACTATATCAAAGATATGAGAACCACAGAACTGTCTTCGAAAGGTTAGGATTTAATACTCCCGTTAATTGCTTTTATCGTACGTCGAATGAAACATTTTATTATACCTGTCTCCAAATACGTACACAGCGATTCTTATCTTGCATAATTAATTCACACAAAGTATGCGTTACGTCATTCAAGGTTCAGGAAGATGCGTACATACTAATTATTGATTAAGACCTACGAGCAGATTCCTTATTTGAAATCATAAATGGTAGCAAATTATAGGACACGTTTCAGATGCTAAAAAAGAAGAAATATACGTTAATTCACTGCTTTACGGTAAAGAGTATAATTTCAATGCAAATTAAGCGTGTAAACTGTCGATATGAAATATAATTAACGCAGTAGCAGTAATGACGTCAAGGAAAGGGTAACAGGTACAAAAGTAATGCGCACGAGAATTTATTTTTCAAGGAACAATGATGTCAAGACTCCAGGTGAGACGTGTTTATCTGCATCATCGGAAAAAACGCCTTAGTCAATGTTCGGTTTTAGGACCCCTGCTAACAATTAACGAATTTTTGTGTAAATCGGTGCGTGAAAATATGACAAGTTGGGAACTTCCGTCAGATGACGTGCGAATTATAGTTAACGTATGGACATCAAGATTTCGCGACACAACGATTAAATCGAGTGCGTTACGCGCGTTAGAAAAGAGGAAAAGCATCAAGAGTAATCGACTGTCTGTGTACCTCCACGGGAGCGGCTTATCACAAGAGCATTAAATGGAGTTAAAAATAGAAAGCACGTTTATTGTAACATGTAGATGACCTCAGTTCGTGCCTTGATAGTATCTCTGCGGAACTCGAGATCATCGGCAGATATTTAACAGCTACATATAATGTGGACTAATTGCTGATTATTTTGGATGTTTGCTGAATGATATACATCTTTATAATGAGTGTATACATGTGAAGATTTATATATCTAAATTCTTAAATACGTACTTTCCCATCGACCTATATATTCTAACCTATCTGTATCTTTAGATCTGCAGATATAATTTCTACATCCAAAAATATACATATAAATCTGAAATATCGGACACGGTATTTGAATTATAGTTGGAGTGCGATAACTTATTATATAAAACCACTTACCAATAATCTATGGCATTATTTTACAACGCAATAACGTCTAATTATTAAAGTCGATAAGTGTGCCTGAAGATCGTATCGACATAATACTAATTTATATTGCGTAATACGATACATTCTAATTATTTCCTCCGAAAATAAAATTCGAAGAAGCATCGCTATCGTCAAAGCTTCGTTTCGTCATATTTATTCAAACAGAAGATGTATAAACTATAGTTGAATGAAGTAACGAATTGACACTTGTAACGTACGACTACGCGATTGTTATGTCACGTTTAATACAAAACGATTGTTATATTAATAACAACTGACGATTGCAATCAGTCCATCCATCTTGGTTCTTCGATTAGCCGGTTCCTGTTTACGATATTATTATCTGAAGGGTTAATAATAGCTGCATGACTTGGTAATGCTACAGAAAACATAAGTTTGTTTTATTATGATATACAAGCGATCGTTCAATGGTAAATGGATCGCGATAATGGCTTCGAGGTTATAATAAAAGATAGACCAAGATATATTTAATCATTTTATTGTACGTGCAAGTGACTAACTGTTCGGTGTTCAGAGTAATTAATTTTGAACATAATCAAACTTCAGCATTGCCGGTAGATAAAGATTTTGTCCTTTCAAAATGTTCAAAGATTGTGTACTTTCAATAATAACATGATAAAATAATGATATCTCGGTGAATTTCTTATCGAGCGGCATGTTTTACCGAATTATAACGAGATTATCGCGAAAAACAGCATGAAGTTATATTACAACCTTTATCTACATTCGCAAAGTGGACAAATAGGTATCGATTGCCTTTACACCATACGTGATGATAAAAGTGGTCGAATATGAGAGCTCGTGTGACAGAATTTGATGGATTACTGAATTTATTTTGAACATTTTGTTATTTTTAGGTTCGGCTTCGTCGTTATTAATTTGATAAAGTATCTAGAACATATGCGCATTTGGGTTACTCAATGGAGATATCAATAATTAGTATCGATTAAGAGGAACCTACCCTTACTGTTTTATCTATCGCATAGAACGATCAGTTTTGCGACAAGAGCACTGAACATTGCCAACGCAACAAGAATTTCAACTCTTGGATCATTGCCCCTCGCGAGTCAAATATAAATCATTCAATAACATTTCGTATTTTGCTCATCGCATAATTATAATTTAAATTATCTCTACACTGAACAACGCAAAAATTTCAAAACTTTCATATTCCTAAATTTCTAAATCCTTTGATAATATCTGCGGAATTAAAGCTATTAGTAAAGCAACTCGAATTACTCCAGATAAAAGTTCTAATTAGGTCAACACTTTCACGTTGCCTTTCTAGAAACAACTCTCGATAAATATCGCAGGTCAATTACATTTGTTAACATTTTTCATTTTCTGAATTTAGAAACTTATCGTCTTAATATTTTCCGATGTTTACGCGCGTGAAAGGCGTCGAACACCCTCTTGTTTCTTTATTTTATCGTACAACCCAGATAAAAAATTGTGAACGAGGAATCGAGTCACGCCGCCACAAAATAATCACATTACACGCAAATAAACAGCAGTAACTTAGAAACTGTGACCATTTACGGTCCAATGCGGTCAACGCGTTTATCGAAACACGTTATAATATGCGTTACCGTTAACACAAATTATTTAACGGCAAAAACTGCTCGAAGGTAAGTTGATTCATATTCTATCGAATTAAATAAGCGTTACATTCGAAAACTGCAATAAACTGTAAGTATTGCTTGACGATTATGTCATGGAAAAAAGAAAAGGAGGTTCACGTCGTCACAGGAGAAAGTCTTTGTTTGTGCACATTGGTACGAAGGACGTAGGACGCAGCGTATCTCACATTAGAAATTTAAAAGATTACAAATTTGGAAAAATACAAATTTTTATTCTCAAAGTTATAAATTTCTAAATTCCTAAATTTTCAAAAGCTTATACCACTGATCCGGAGGGAAGAGAGTATTGGCAAAGCTGAAGTACCTGGCCCGCTTCATAGAATTCTAGTTACACGACTGTTGCCGTAACGCTATTATCTCGCCACGAAGAAGCGTTAATTAGGCAATTTTTCTTTCACCCGTTGCGACTGGAGATAATAATCGAGCGATCAGAACGTCCCAACGCGTATTCTTGTCGCTGTCGTCGTCGTTGCATTAATTTGCAAACGAGTTCTCACAGCGTGAGCGATGGCTACATTAAATTTAATATCGTTGCTTGGCATTATCGTCTCGTGCGCTTCTTTATATTTTTCAAAACATCGATGCAGCTAAATATAACTCACTTAATATACAAACTTTCGTTCCGTAATCTAGCGGATGTTCTACGTGGATACATCTTCGAGCTGAACACACTAAATCCATTTACATTTGTTCTCTCGTCGAGGAGCGGATCGATCAATTTTCATTAACGCTGTGATCGAACATTTCGGTTTTAGTAACGCTGCGAACATTTCATAGTTGACTCCAGTAACTTTTAAAGGACACTGGAGACTATTTACAGAAACTTAGGACAAAAAATTCGAGTTACGTCAAAGTGCAAGTTCCAAATAACCAAGGGCTTTTTTTATTCGTCATAAATTATTTTTTGTCCTACGAATTAGGTCGATGGTTCAATCTATACGGTTTATTGTTAGGTCGAACCGTATTATTAATTCAACCACCGTTCCAGATACGAATTACAAGGGTATAACGTTTGCTGGACAGGGCACGATTTTCGATTTTTAGTGCGAGGTAAATGGGATACGTAATCACCGAGTAGATAGACTACTCGGTGTTTACAGTGCTTTTAAGACGCACCTTGTAAGCAAATATGCAACGAAGGCCGTGGGTAACAGAGGCGCGATGTGTCTATTTTCATTTCGCATGTGCAATGTGCTCGAGCGTGATGTGAAACTTAATAATAAAATTAAAGAAACACAATGGAGCCGTGGAACGGATTGCAAACACGCTGGTAAACATCAGTATGCATCGGACGAAGAAATCGAATTGAATTGTCTGATGGTGAGACGTGGAAGATCTCGTTTTCGAAGCTTTATCAGGTTGTGGGCTAGTGTCGCAGAATTCAGATATCTGAAATAAGAAAGAGCAATACTTAGAATATACATTCACTTAGTGAATATGTAGTCACTCAGAATTTTAAGAAATTATAAAGTACCCAATGTCAAAGTCGTAACAAAGTCGTAACAAACATAACAAAGTCAAAGTTAAACATAAAAACAATACATCACAAGGAATAATTGCTGTTTACATCACAATTAATTCGACAGCTACTTACTGTTAATCAAACGCGTAAAGTGGAAAACAGGGATGCATCGTATTGTGAGCCGCAAACAACTGATTCAGACGTCGTACGTGAGCATTGTGCGAGATGAAAATCGCCTGCCGTTGAAATTAGCATGAGAAAACGTTGTGTGAAGCGGGATTGAAATGTACGGTCCAACGAGCACAAGTCAATGTGACAAGGAGCACCATGTCGTCGAGATACGAGCACGACATAAAGCATCTTCTCGACGTAACCAAATATGTCTGGGCAAACAAAACGTAAAAATTTAATGCATTATTCTGCAACGCAGCCGTGACTAGGATTTACCGTAAACAGGATATTTCTGGCGTTTCTGGTGAGCTCTAAATGCAAATGAATTGTACGAGCTGGGCATTTCAACTGTTCATCGTGACGTCGTATTTAAATAATATCGAATCCTTTTGTTCCTGGCGATGTAACATGTCGAGGCGCTGGAAATAAAGGAAATTTGTATTCGAAATTTATCTTTCGATAGGGTTAGAACTTTAATTTCTAAATGATTCCATGATGGTTACCTTGATTCGGGTACCAGATACGGATCATTGAGATCTAATCGGGCTGTAATAATTGGAGGTTGATTTCTGCGCGGGAGGATCCTCGTGATGCAGACAATATCGGCGAGGTGACTCATCTGACACGAAAGCATCGCGTATTATGTCAGTAACGGCAGAATACATCGTACGAAATGTGAGATGCTCGTTAGTCTCGTTCCAGGTGGCTCGTTATCGCCGGTACCAGTGTGTCAAGTATCACATAAGTTAGCCTCAACGCGTGACACTCGTGTAATACCTAGTAAAGGGAAAATTATGAAAGAACCTCGTCATTCAGAAGCTAGGAAGAAAAGAACTCACCCAGTAGATCAGCTGGATGCGAATGCTGAAGCGGTCTTCAAACTTTCAACTCGGGAAATAGTTCTATCTGAAAATAGTAAATTAGTTGATCATTTACGTCTCAATTCTTCATCTTCATTATCTTTATTATCTTTATCAATTTCATTACTTTCATCATTTTCATCATTTTCATTACTTTTATCATCTAGATCATCTTCATCATCTAAATCCTCCATCATCCTTATCATCTTAATTCTTCATCATCTTCATCACTTTCATCATCTCCATCATTTTCATCATCTTCATCATTTTTATCATTTTTATTACTTTCATCATCTTCATTATTTTCATCGCTTTCATCATCTACATCATCGTCATCATCTAGATCCTTCGTCATCCTTATTATCTTAATTTTCCATCAACTTCATCACTTTCATTGTCTCCATCATTTTCATCATCTTCATCATTTTTATCATTTTTATTATTTTCATCATCTTCATTATTTTCATCGCTTTCATCATCTACATCATCTTCATCATCTAAATCCTTCATCATCCTTATCCTCTTAATTCTTCATCATCTCCATCACTTTCATCATCTCCATCATCTTCATCATCTTCATCACTTTCATCATCTCCATCATCTTCATCATCTTCATCATTTTTATCATTTTCATTACTTTCATCATCTTCATCATTTTTATCATTTTCATTACTTTCATCTTCTTCATTATTTTCATCACTTTCATCATCTACATCATCTTAATTCTTCATCATCTTCATCACTTTCATCATCCTTATCATCTTAATTCTTCATCATCTTCATCACTTTCATCATCTCCATCATCTTCATCAGTTTTATCATTTTTATTACTTTCATCATCTTCATTATTTTCATCACTTTCATTATCTACATCATCTTCATCATCTAAATCCTTCATCATCCTTATCATCTTAATTCTTCATCACTTTCATCATCACCATCATCTTCATCATCTTCATCATTTTCATCATCTTCGACTTAGACGAGTCATTTTGACAATCAGAAATAATGAATCATTTATGACCTGCAGAGAGAAAGTATACATATAGAATGATGCTTTAATGCGTCAAAATGATCCTGCAGCCTACTGTATCAGCCCTATTATATTTATTACGAATCGCACCTTTGATATCTTTCGTTTGGATGCGTTTCGCATCCAAATCCTCTGCAAGCTAAAAGATTGTTTAAGCAAATCGAACACATTGTTTACCGTAGATATATTGTTTCATCGTCAATGAGCAAGGTAAATGAATACTATCAGCAAGCAGATAATGACTCAGTATAAATAATTACTTTGATGGTGTAACGCAAGCACGTGGTTGAATGAAAAATTTGAAATCTTTCATGAAGTTATGAGGATCATCCGAACAAGGTTGCGAAAGTAACTCCGTTAATTAAAATTCAGAATTTTCGTTTGTTACAATAATGTCAGAGAATGTTTTCCTAGAATTCGCAAATGTCAGGGGTACTCTAAGATTTGACTGGCATTTAGGAGACACTCTTGGACCCGTAAACAGTTAAGTCCCGGAAGGCCGAGTTCCCAGCGAAAATATTTAACGTGGAATTAATGGGATACGAACGCGACCATAATCTACGCCCGTGATGGGATTATGGTAATGCGACTCGTTTGCTGCTCGACGTGCGATGACATTTAGATTTAATCGTCATGGAAGCGTGACTGAAAAGCTGCAAAAATTGTCGAGTTTGACACTTTGCGATTATTTCGATTGGAAGAAACTTGGCACGATACAAATAACTTTAATTGGAATCGAATTAGACGTAATAGATACAGAGATATCTTCGTATTGCGAAAAACGAAACATGTGTCTGTTGTATCAAGATATTCCTGGATTGCTAGATCCTTGTATCTCTTGATCTCCATATCTGTGACCAGGGTTTCTTATGGTGAGCAGTCACTTCGTGGTACAGTAATTGAATGCTATGAGGCATCGATGATTATACAGCGCGATGCAAGATGAATGTATAAGGAATGTTCTAGGAAATGTAAAATTATTCGTGTAAATAACACAACCATTGGAGAGAAAATGCATGAGTCAGGAAGAGGAAAAAAAGGTGTAGCCAAAGGTAGATCCTCGGAGTTCGGGGAACGAGTAAACAGGTTGATGACGAAGTAAAATTTAGCTGGAACGCAATGAAAACTGCGTCGGTACAATTAATTCTATCGAACCGTTTCATTACATACCAATTACGAACGAACATCCAGCCAATAGATACAAAACTACGACACGGAAAAATCGTCGTTTTCCTCATCCACTACGAAAACAATTCGAATCGAAACGATTTTTTGTTCGTTCCCCTTCACGATCGATTGTTCTCGTGCTTCTGTATCCTTCACAATGCGATATTACGTAAAATGCCGGTCCTTGACATTCAACAAGAAATTTTAGATCGTTCGTGACTCACGAACAATTGGGCGCAAAAAAAAATCGTGTAAAGCCGGTGCACGCGAACCTGTGTCGTTAATCCTTAACTCGAGATATTTAAATTGTCTCTAGATAAGAACGGAGGAAGTAATGCTTTTTAATGCACACAGGGATATTTCGATGTGCGACACGGAAGAGAGGCGGTACAATGTGCCAAGAATTACACAATCGAATGACTCGGTAAACCTAATGTTCATTGTGAGGACCACGTGCGGCCACTTTTATTTGTCTTTTTGAACCCTGAACACTCGATGTGTAGGCTAAGAGATTAGCATAACAAGCTACCTAATATGCACAGGATTATTCGGATCTGGAGACATTTGCGGTTTCGAGTAAATAAAATGCAGGATAATTCGAATACAGGGATGTATCAGTATGGCATCTTAGGGTAGAATCTAGGGGCATTTAGGTATAGGACATTTAGGAGTAGGACAGTTAAGTGTAGGACATTTAGATGTAGGATACTTAGGTGTAGGATATTTAAGAGTAGGACAGTTAAGTGTAGGACATTTAGATGTAGGATACTTAGGTGTAGGATACTTAGGTGTAGGATACTTAGGTGTAGGATACTTAGGTGTAGGATACTTAGGTGTAGGATACTTAGGTGTAGGATACTTAGGTGTAGGATACTTAGGTGTAGGATACTTAGGTGTAGGATACTTAGGTGTAGGATACTTAGGTGTAGGATACTTAGGTGTAGGATACTTAGGTGTAGGATACTTAGGTGTAGGATACTTAGGTGTAGGATACTTAGGTGTAGGATACTTAGGTGTAGGATACTTAGGTGTAGGATACTTAGGTGTAGGATACTTAGGTGTAGGATACTTAGGTGTAGGATACTTAGGTGTAGGATACTTAGGTGTAGGATACTTAGGTGTAGGATACTTAGGTGTAGGATACTTAGGTGTAGGATACTTAGGTGTAGGATACTTAGGTGTAGGATACTTAGGTGTAGGATACTTAGGTGTAGGATACTTAGGTGTAGGATACTTAGGTGTAGGATACTTAGGTGTAGGATACTTAGGTGTAGGATACTTAGGTGTAGGATACTTAGGTGTAGGATACTTAGGTGTAGGATACTTAGGTGTAGGATACTTAGGTGTAGGATACTTAGGTGTAGGATACTTAGGTGTAGGATACTTAGGTGTAGGATACTTAGGTGTAGGATACTTAGGTGTAGGATACTTAGGTGTAGGATACTTAGGTGTAGGATACTTAGGTGTAGGATACTTAGGTGTAGGATACTTAGGTGTAGGATACTTAGGTGTAGGATACTTAGGTGTAGGATACTTAGGTGTAGGATACTTAGGTGTAGGATACTTAGGTGTAGGATACTTAGGTGTAGGATACTTAGGTGTAGGATACTTAGGTGTAGGATACTTAGGTGTAGGATACTTAGGTGTAGGATACTTAGGTGTAGGATACTTAGGTGTAGGATACTTAGGTGTAGGATACTTAGGTGTAGGATACTTAGGTGTAGGATATTTAAGAGTAGGACATTTAGATGTAGGATATTTAGGTGTAGGATACTTAGGTGTAGGATACTTAGGTGTAGGATACTTAGGTGTAGGATACTTAGGTGTAGGATACTTAGGTGTAGGATACTTAGGTGTAGGATACTTAGGTGTAGGATACTTAGGTGTAGGATACTTAGGTGTAGGATACTTAGGTGTAGGATACTTAGGTGTAGGATACTTAGGTGTAGGATACTTAGGTGTAGGATACTTAGGTGTAGGATACTTAGGTGTAGGATACTTAGGTGTAGGATACTTAGGTGTAGGATACTTAGGTGTAGGATATTTAAGAGTAGGATACTTAGGTGTAGGATACTTAGGTGTAGGATACTTAGGTGTAGGATATTTAAGAGTAGGACATTTAGATGTAGGATATTTAGGTGTAGGATACTTAGGTGTAGGATATTTAAGAGTAGGACATTTAGATGTAGGACATGTGAGAGTAGGACAGTTAGGTGTAGGACATGTGAGAGTAGGACAGATAGGTGTAGGACATATGAAAGTAGGAGAGATAGGTGTAGGACAGTTAGGTGTAGGATATTTAGGTGTAGGACATTTAAAAGTAGGACATTTAGGTGTAGGATATTTAGATGTGGAACATTTTAGAACCTCTGTAGGAGATCTATTAATCTGCTGACCTGAGAATATTACAAATGCACTTACAACTTTAATAATTCATTTACTAAGTAATGAGCACATATCTTTTTATGTAGCCACTCAAGAGATAAGAATAATTAAAAATAAACCGTCAAGAACAATAATTAAAGATATACCGAGAATTAGATAAAACCATCCGGTGTTTGTGGCCGATTAACCAATATTCTCGTTAGGAGTTGATTAAGTGAAAATCATAATCGACGCGTTTTTAAATAGGTTTCGAGGATTTTCGCCATTTCTCCGAAGCTTGACTTACCAATATCAATAGGAATATACAGATAAGTTTTTGCAGAGACCGGGTAGCAATCGGCGCCACGGGAACACGTGTAGAGGGACGCGGAGGAGTTGGCAGTGCGACAGAGGTCTCGAGAAGAAGAAGAGGATTTCGAGTTCCTCTATCGAGAACGAGCGAGCGAGCGAGCGAGGAAACACAGAGCGTCGTGGGACGGTGCAGCTCGTGGTGGGGTATCAGCCACGGCTTATCTGGCGACTTTATGTATATTACGATGCCCAAGGCAGGAACACGAACAGTTCACTGCTGGCTAACTGGTCGGAGAAGTCGGCTAAACCGAGTCCGAGCCTGACGGCCCCGTTAAACGTGTTTCGAATAGATAGATCAATTAAAGAGACGCTCGCGAACACACAGCCTACTAACTGTACCGTATACGTGTACCGGAAACCAGGTGCGCGAAACCATCGTCGTGCCGGAGCGGTCCACTCAGTTTTCCCGAAAGCTTGATCTCTCAGTGATCCAGGATGATCGTGCTCGCGTGGTCCTTGTTCGTGCTGGTCTCTTTGCTCGTCGCCACCAATCAAGCATTCCTCGCTGCTCCTGCACCAGGTACTGCAAATTGTTTATTATTTTAACCGAGTGCTTCGTTACCGGTAACGATATTTATCGACCGAATTATTATCGAAGTTTTATGGTGTGTTTTATGAGTGCTTCACGACCTCTGCTATTAAGTGATAGTTCGTAATTAACATGTACACGTGTTAAAACTCATTCAATACATCTTTTATCGATTTCTATATTTAATTCAGAATTATAAATAGTTCAAAGTTACTAGTAGCATACTTTTACTATAGTTAGATTGTCAAAGGTAAGCGAATCAATAAAAAAAGAACCAACGTTCAATCAATACCGTGACACGATCAGTGCGTAGTGTTATGTAAAAATTTATAAAAACTCCAGGACAAGGTACAATTCAGCTAATTTCAATGTCATCGAAGTGTCATGAAAAACGAATCGTGCTTCGAATGACACTCGACGAGTAAAATATCTATTTTTCGTGTGACGAAAGTTCGAACGCGTGATAGAACATGCCGGTAAGGAACACGTGGAGTCGCGTGCGAATTTTCGAGCTCCTATTTCCCGCGACACGTTTTCCATTATCGAAGGCTGTTTCTGTCGAAGCTTCTGGTAGATCGTGCGTGACTTTCTCGCGTGTTTGATAACAACCAGTATAAATAGTGTAGGACGCGGTTTTGTTGCTGTTCGAAAGTGTTTGAGAGTCGACTGTGATAATTTGGAATTTGGGGAACTTGGGATTTAGAGAATTTGGAATTTGGGAAATTTGGAATTTGGAGAATTTAGAATTTGGGGGATTTGGAATTTGGGGGATTTGAAATAAGGGGATTTGGAATTTGGGAAATTTGGAATCTAGGGAATTTGGAATTTGGGGGATTTGGAATTTGGGGGATTTGAAATAAGGGGATTTGGAATCTAGGGAATTTGGAATTTGGGGAATTTGGAATTTGGGGGATTTGGAATTTGGAGATCTTGCAAATTGGGGAATTTGGGATTTATGGATTTGAGGATTTAGGATTTGCAGATTTGCAGATTTGGAGATTTGGCGTTTTAAATATTTGGAGATTTGTAAATTTAGATATTTGGAACTTCAAAAATGTGAAGATTTGAGGATTTGAAAATTTAAAGATATGAAGATTTCAGAATTTAAAAATGCAAGAATTTAGAAATTAAAAAATTGAGAACATAGAAATGAATTTGGAAGTTTAGAGATATAGAAATTTGAAAATCTGACAATTTCTAGAAAACCACGCAAGGAATGCCACGTTCAGCGTCCAACGGCCTACTGTGACGATCAATTAAATTTGATACACAAATTGCGTCACGGCACCGTCACGCTCGTTGCCAAAAGAGCATATGACTTTATAACGTCACAAGAAAGAGAGCGGTCCGAAATTTCTGATCGGTAAACTTGTAATTTTATCAACGATCTCGCGGAATTGTTTGACGGTCGGGGACAGCAGGTGAAATTATACGAAAACCTCTGGAAAGCAACCAAGTCTGCCATAATTTCTCGTGGCAACGATTCAAGCCAAATTCTCTCATCTCTCCTCTGTCGTTGTCAGTTAAATCTATCTCTCGAATGAGCTGCACGAGAAATGTGCGATTTCAGAATGATCTATTTTTAACGCTACTTTTATATGAGAGAGATTTCAGTTCGACCAAAATATTTCAAAAACACCTTTGACAGAAACGAAATCGAATGACGGAAAATGTTTTTACAAGTGTACAAATACGTTTCATAATATAATTCCATAATATAATTGATATGATATTTAATAATGTGAGTAACAAATAAAAATAATGAGTCAGTTCTATCAATTACGATTCATATTTTCTTGTAAGTTATAATTTGCCATACATGCTGTTCAAACAGTTAAATGACCTCTATTAAATAGCAACGATACGTAAAAATTAATATAACTGAACAGTGATAGCATCAAAAATACAGTTGTAAGATATAGAAATTTTTTAAATTAGCTGAGATGCGACAGTTGTATGGAGCACCCTGTATACCTTCACCAGCCATTTCATTCCCTAAATCCCAAATTCCCCAAATCCCAAATTTCCCAAATTCCAAATCCCCCAAATTCCAAATTTCCCAAATCCCAAATTCTCTAAATCCCTAATTCCCTAAATCCCAAATTTCCCAAATTCCAAATTTCCCAAATCCTAAATTCCCTAAATCCCAAATTCCCCAAATCCCAAATTTCCCAAATCCCAAATTTCCCAAATTCCAAATTTCCCAAATCCCAAATTCCCTAAATCCCGAATTCCCCAAATCCCAAATTCCCCAAATTCCAAATTTCCCAAC